TTGGTAAAGAATCTGCCTGCAAAGCAGGAGAACGGAGTTTGATTCCAGGGTTGGGAAGATTTGCTGGAGAACGGATAGGTTACCCACTCCAGTATTCTTGGGCTTCCCTTGTGGCTCAGCTGGTAAAGAATCTGCCTGTAATCTGGGAGACCTGGGTTGGGAAGATGCCCTGGAGAAGGGAAAGGCTACCCACTCCAATATTCTGGCCTGGAGAATTCCATGGGGTCCATGGGGGTGCAAAGAGTTGGACACAACTGAGCGACGTTCACTTTCAATTTTCACATATGTCTAAAGCTAAATCTAAACATGTTCTAGTGCCTAAATTAGCTCTTCTTGCTATGATCACATCCACCTACTCTCTTGACCTAAAGTGAACTATTTCCTCTTCATCTGACTCTATTATCAGAGCTAGTGAATCACTGTGCTGTAATTAAATCACCCGGGAAACATTCTCAAATCTGCCCTATCACTGCCTCTCTTGCTTAGACCTGCTTCCGTCCACAGCTGGAACTGATTGGTAGACTGCAGAACTGTCCATCTTCTAAAATCCACGATAACTTTGAAAAACTCAAAAACCCCACAATGTTAGGTCGACTTTCAAAATACTGTATCAAAACTAAAATCAAAGACAAGACCAAGTGTGTAGACTATCCTTTCCAAGTTAGACCAACATCTTCTTCCTTAAAGACACTGGTGCTGCACCTCCTGAAGTCTTTATAAAGCTCTCCACAACACCCAGACACATTCACCCCACCCTCCCACACATGCACACTCACTCACCAACACACAGATACACATACTTGCACACACTCAGGCTCCAGCAATGAGTACATGTTTCAAATCACCACCGACAACCTGATGCTTTGGGGCACTAGTCAATCAACTCCTTCTTCTGGAGACTTTGTTCTAAATTCAGGCTCTGAACGTTCTTCTCTGGCCTCATCAACCCCAAAGAGAACAGGTCATTTTCTCTTTTATAGACATACTTCTAGTCTTGCAGTTATCACGAAGTAATAGTTAATTGGATTATATAACTGCTGCCCCCAACTTGAGAGGGCTTTATCTATGCATCTCATACCTGAAGAATAGCAGCTATCAGACTCAATTTGTTCAACTCCACTAATGTTTTTGATCAACATTTAGAAAACTAAGATCCATCACTTCATGGCAAATAGTTGGGGAGACAATAGAAACAGTGCCAGACTTTATTTTCTTGGGCTCCAAAATCACTGCAGATGGTAACTAAAGCCACGAAATTAAAAGACGCCTGCTCTGAAAGAAAAGCTATGACCAAACTAGACAGCATATTAAAAAGCAGAGACATTACTTTGCCAATGAAGGTCCATCTAGTTAACGCTATGGTTTGTCCAGCAGTCATGTATGGATGTGAGAGTTGGACTACAAAGAAAGCTGAGTGATGAAGAATTGATGCTTTTGAACTGTGGTGTTGGAGAAGACTCTTGAGAGTCCCTTGGACTGCAAGGAGATCCAACCAGTCCATCCTAAAGGAAATCAGTCCTGAATATTCATTGGAGGGACTGATGCTGAAGCTGAAGCTCCAGTACTTTGACCATCTGAAGGGAAGAACTGACTCATTGGAAAAGACCCTAATGCTGGGAAAGATTGAAGGCAGGAGAAGAAGGGGACGGCAGAGGATGGGATGGTTGGATGGCATCACCAACTCAATGGACATGAGTTTGAGTAAGCTCCAGGAGTTGGTGATGGACAGGGAAGCCTTGCATGCTGCAGTCCATGGGGTCGCGAAGAGTCAGACAGGACTGAATGACTGAACTGAACTGAACTTTGATTAAGTGATGACAACTTAGGCAGCATGCTTAAAATAAGACTGAGTGACATTTTAATAATAACTGAAAAAAGAATCTTCAGACCGTTTACATACATGATTATAAAAATACAGGTTATATTGACATGTGCAGCCATTGACCTAGACTTGTAGAACAGAAAGCACTGAGTGACCTGAATATAGTGACTCTACCACCGATTCACATAGTAATAATCTCTCTTTTCCTGCTCACCGTGCAAAATCACCATCTCCTCCTCCTGACTATTTTTTTTCCCTTACATCTATACAAATAAAGTATTTCCACCTACTTAGATATTAAAAGTATTATAGCAAATGTCACTAATGACCCCTGAGGCCAAAATTTTTTAATCTCTTGAATTATTATTATTAATTTTTGCAGCATTTGCTACTCTGGGACACCCTCCATGACGCCTCCCACTTGGCTTCTGGTTCTTCTACATCTTTGACCATTATTTGTCAGGTGAGTCAGGGGAGCCTCTTCTTTCACCCACTCCTTAAACTCTGGTTTTACCCAGGCACTCTGTTACTTGGTGATGTCATCTACTTCTCCGGCTGAGTGCCTTGGGTTCATATACCCAACTCGTTCTTGAACATAGACTCCTGGATAATGCACAGGTGCCCCAAATCATCCTATCACGATCTGAACTCCTCACTGCCCACCCTACTGGTTGGCCTGCTTTACTTTCCTTTATTTCCCCATGCCAGCTGCTGACGTGCTCAATCACCCAAGCCACTGATACAACAGCCCCCCTAAACTCTTTCCTTACAAACCATATTCAATTGACAACTAAGCACTGCCCATTTACCTTCTTTCTTACTGAGCTCTTAAAATGTTTCCTTCCCATACCCTCTGCTACTTCTGTAGGTCAAGACCTCATCCTTCTCTGGACAGTTGCAATAGTCCCTTAATTGATCTGCTTGTCTTCAGTTTTGCCCACATCCTATTCATATGCCATCATTCTTACTTCTGCCAAAGTAAGCTATATGTATCTTATACACACACACATACACACACATAATGAAAATCTGATGAGTTAAAATCCATCAGTGCATGCTAAAAACTAAATGTAGTGTTTATTAAATTTTATTTTGATCCAGTTATCATGTACAGAAATCTAAGCTCATCCTACAATAGTAACCCAGGATGCCATCTTACATTTTCTGTTCTCTTTTAGTCCAATCAAAATGTAAACACAACCTCCACACTAAAAAACTAGCTTTTACTGATCTTCAGGCCCACTGATAGGTTGTGACGCACATATTTAAAAACACTGGCCTACAGGCTAAAGCCCATCCTTAGTGTCCTGCCCACCCCCAAATTACTGTCACTGTTTTCACAGCAACCTAGAAAGGGACTTATATGGAAATGGAGAGCTCTACTTACAAATACCACTCTCTAGAGAGAATCAGTAGAAATGAGGAATGGACTGTAAACTTTAAATTTTTCAAGTCACCTAAAGAGAGGTCCACTGTCGTGATTAGTTAAGCGTGGAGTGAAGAAAAAGATTCTCAGAAAGGAGAACCCAAAAGCCACTCTCAGTCACTCTACTCAGAGAGCCTGCCAGGAAGGTTCCACTAGGTTCACGGTAAGTTACAACAGCTTTCCACTCCTAGGAGTCCACGGAAAGCAGAAGAAAAATAAGAAAAAATAATTAGTCTCTTTGGCAACGATGTCAATTGTTGCTTCTTATCTGATAATTCCAATCTTAGGTGGACACTGGAATAAGTGGTACAAATAAAAATGGGACCTCAATATATGGAATATAACACATCTTAAAATTCATGCTAATTCCTCAAAGAACTTTCCCCAAAGTTGCTTGTTTTCTAATGCCTGGAACATATGATGGAAAGTGGGGATTGTAAGTTTTCCATGAATTTTCAAGAAAAGTTCCACCATCAAGAAAACGGATTTATGGCTAGAACATGTGTAGAAAAAAATGGCAACATCATTAAAAGAAGCAGTTCTTCCAACTTAAAACTTTTTTCAATGCAATTATAAACCATTTTTACTACAGTTAGGAGAAAATTATTTGTGTTCCTTGAAAAGTACTGATCAAGTGTGGAAGATGATATTCAAATACACATAGATAAAATCTATAACTCATTTATGGAGCCTCTTGAAATTTATTTACCCAAATTTTATATCTTAAACCATAAATAATTTTGTATTTGTGACCATGTGTATGCAAAATATAAGCAAGCATTTAAACATTTTATTAATTTCAGTTTTGCCAATGGGAATAAAACTTGACACAGCAAAAGGATTACAAAAAGTTACTTTTCTTTTCATAGCCTTTTGATAATCTTATTACTTTATTTTGGTTTTACTTCAAAAAATTGTCAGATAGCTAAGGAAACCTATAGAAAAATCACTCCTAAGACACATTTCTTCAATGGCTTTTGCAAAAATAACTTGGAAGGAGGCATTTCCCTAGGAGTAACTACTTGGCTGTAATGGTTATGCTAACAGTATTACCACTGCTGAGACATTTTAAGGAAATATTTAATTTTTCTTACCAGGAGCATCATTTTATTCAGAAGATTGAATAGATTATGCCACTCTGCAGAATTTTAAAGCTCTTTACATTTCATCTTACAGAAATCCACACTTGCAACACAGAGTTTGCTTATTTGGTTTCTCCTCTAATTCCTTTTGCTTGGCCATTTAAACCTTCAGGAATATCCACACTTGAGGTTACAATAATAAGAATAAACTGATGGTCCATCCCTCTTTCTGATTGTCCCTGACCTTTCTAGGACACAGTGTGAAGGTGGTTATGAATGAGCCATGCACTTCCCTTCTTCACATTTAGGAAAGGATCCCCTCTCTGCACCTTTTCATTACTTCCCCAGGGTCTCAGGCTCGAGCCCACATACTTTCTAAATCCAAAACTTACAGAGTTTCTAATAGCACAGAGCTCCCCAATACGTGTTTCTTTCCCATCATTAGCTTCATGCTTCCCATAGGCATTAGAAACATCACTTAATGAAGATGCTTGAGACACAGAGGTGTTTCCAGATCGTTTTATCTAATTCAGTAGCAGCCTTTTACCCCCAGACACCCCAGAGCAGCCAGAGCTTGTGCTCCCACATGCAATGTGAATTAATACATCTGGAACCAGTGATCTGTGTTACAGACGACATTTTCAGTCAATGAAACCAATGCCATACTCACGGTGGAGGCGGGTGGGGCTGGTGCTCAACATTTCTTGGGGCTTTGCAGGCAGCAGGCTTCACCATGTCCCTGACCACACACCTGGGGCGCATGATAGACAGCACAACGCACTATTAATTATAAAATGGGGAGAAACATCTGGAAATTAAACACGGTACTGAAAACAAGTTTAAGGGAACTGTCTGCAAGCCCCTACATATTAACCTAGAGGCCCTGAGAAGCCCTGGGAGTTAGGAGCCTTCAGCTCATGCTTCTAAGAGCTCAATTACACCCAGATGAACTCCATGCCAGTGCTGGCCTCAGTATTGGATTTCCTGTTTAGTACCAATAAAATGGTCCTCATTAGACTTCCCCATAGAAGCAAAGCTGCTGAAAACTTTGGCTTCACCCTATGAAGACATCTGAAAGCGTAAACATAGGAGCCCCTGCTGCGCTGATACGTTAAAAACAGGCAGGACTTTTTATGGCCTTGGCTATCTTACTGAAAGACATGGACTTTTGTTTCATGCCCTTCATCACCACATTGATCTTTCCCTTTATGCAAGAAAAAAGAAAAGAAATTAAAAAAAACAGAGATCTGCGATGTTTCAGGACATCCCCCATGTTCTAAATCCATTCAAGCTAAGAAAGGAGGAAGAGTCAGAGGGAAATGTACATATATAAAGTGTGTGTGTCTCCATAAGTATGCAAAATAAATATGCAAGATGCCTGCACAGTGTGAAAATAGGCAGGAAAAGGTCTTTGGGTCTTAAGTTGTCCATCACAGAATAAATAAATGCAGAGAATGGGTCACAGCTGCAAAGGGCAGCAGGGGGAGGTGCCCTTAACCTGATGTCAACAGGACTTAATGCAACGCTGGAGAGAATCAGAGCATAAGCCAGAAAACATAGCCCTTTGAGGCTGTCCTTGGATGGCTCAGATATCCCTCCACCTCAGAAGCCCTGAACAAACCTTGATTTGAATAGGGAAGCCCTGTTTATAAAGTTGAGACCCTGAGTCTTAGACTCTGCTAAATCAAGCCACATAGGACTTGGGATTCTCAAACAAGAACCTGGTTCTTAACTTTGACAGTGTTTTTGACTGCACTTGGAGATCTGACTACCTGTAAGGCCAGTCATGCTATTCAAGAGGTGGCTCAGTGGTGAGGCAGTGGCGGATAAACTGCTTTCCCAGAGCTAAAAGCTGCATGGCAAAATTCTCCACTTCTGAAAGAAATGATACAGGCAGACGTGGACACTGCACAGAAACGTGAGTGCACACACACACACACACACACACACACACACAGAGCTAAGTCCAAACAGGATCAAGTAAGACTTAGAAATCAATATATAATGTGACAAGAAAAGAAAACGATGCCATTTCAAAGCCATCCCTCCTGGGCTCAAAGGAAAGAAATGTGGTAACTATCTAGAGTGAACGCTAAACTCTTAGTGGACTGATCACTAGTCATTGGAGAAGGACACTCTGGCAGGAAGGTTCAGAGAACATTCAAGAAGGCAGTTGCCAGGGAGAAGTAATACCCCAGGGTATTACTGAGCTCTGAAATGTTAATATAACTTACTCAAGTACAGTGCACAGAAAGTTACATTTCACTGCACTGGGAAATCTTTAGCAATTCTCACTCAACTAAAAATAGCCCACATGGCATGTTGAATCTTTACACGCATTGGTTTGTGAAAATATCGGAAATATCACCAACTTTGGAGAAAATCTTGAAGAATTATATGTATGAGAAACCATATGCAACCTTCTGTCTTAGTTCATTTCCTTTCTTCTTTTTTTTTCCCTCCTGAAAATTCAGGTATTTAGGCAAAGTTTTGGGAAAAAAAGAAATCTGCCACTCAATTAGAGTTTTCCCTCAATATATATTTTTAAATAACTCTTCTCCAATAAAGGTGGATTATTAGCCAGCATGAAAGACCATGTCTGTGTAAGAAAATTCTAATTTAATTTTGAGAATTCAGTGGTTTTGATTTAAAACTATAATAAATGGCATATTTAATCTGTCTGCCTATGCTATAGAATCTTTTTTTAAAAATTCATTTTAATTGGAGTCTAGTTACTTTACAACATTGTAGTGGTTTTTGCCATACATTGACATAAATCCGCGATGGGTGTACATGTGTCCCCATCCTGAACCCCCACCCACCTCCCTCTCCATCCCATCCCTCAGGGTCATCCCAGGGCACCAGCCCTGAGCACCCTGTCTCATGCATCTACCTGGACTGGCGATCTGTTTCACAAATGATAATATACATGTTCCAATGCTATTATCTCAAATCATCCCACCCTCACCTTCTCCCACAGCATCCAAAAGTCCATTCTATACTTCTGTGTCTATTTTGCTGTCTCACATATAGGGTCATTGTTACCATCTTTCTAAATTTCATATATACGCATTAGTATACTGTATTGGTGTTTTTCTTTCTGACTTACTTCACTCTGTATAATAGGCTCCAGTTTCATCCACCTCATTAGAATTGATTCAAATGTATTCATTTTAATGGCTGAGTAACATTCCATAGTGTATATGTACCACAGCTTTCTTATTCATTCGTCTGCTGATGGGCATCTAGGTTGCTTCCATGTCCTGGCTATTATAAACAGTGCTGTGATGAACATTGGGGTACACGTGTCTCTTTCAATTCTGGTTTCCTCAGTGTGTATGCCCAGGAGTGGAATTGCTGGGTCATATGGCAGTTCTATTTCCAGTTTTTTAAGAAATCTCCACACTGTTCTCCATAGTGGCTGTACTAGTTTGCATTCCCACCAACAGTGTAAGAGGGTTCCCTTTTCTCCACACCCTCTCCAGCATTTATTGCTTATAGACTTTTTGATGGCATTCATTCTGACTGGCATGAGATGGTACCTCATTGTGGTTTTGATTTGCATATCTCTAATAATGAGTGATGTTGAGCATCTTTTCATGTGTTTATTAGATCTGTAGGTCTTCTTTGGAGAAATGTCTGTTTAGTTCTTTGGCCCATAAAAACCTCATTTGAATTTCTGAAATTTAAAGCTCTTTTTGGACCATGAAAATAAACACATCAATACTAAAAAACAATGTTGCTAGAATTTAAATGTACTTAATTTAAAATATACTAACTTAATTAATATACTTTACTTAAAGCAAAATACGAAAACTGATTTTTCATACTAACTTATATCCTGATCTCAGGTCTAGAGTGAATCAGTTAGCTGTTGAATCTGTTGTCAGGGAGAAAATGATTAGTTTCAGCTTGCTAGTTATTCAATCAATTTGAGGGGGCACTAAGCTATGCCAACATGTATTCCTACATTTTCTAATCTGACTTCTTTTAGCTGAAATTGCTTCTAGAGAAGGAGGAGAAGAAAAAAAAACCCTACACTCAGAATAAGCAACATAAAATAATACAACGGCCTCCTCAGACTTTTGTCAGCCTGAATGAATTAGCATTTCTTTAAAGCTGTACTTGTGTCTGTTCTATTGCAGTTTGAGGGATAAACCCAAGTGGTGTTGCCAGTTGTAATGCATGGAAACTGTTCAGCCGACCACTTCCCATCCTCCAGGCGTTAATCATAACACAATAACAGGGACCCCTCATACTTAAACACCACAGTGATAGATCAGCACACTGCAGTGATCAGAGGTCTTCCTTTGCTGTGTGCTAAGGCCCTTCAGTGTGTGAGACTGTTTGCAACGCTCTAGGGACCCCCACCAGGCTCCTCTGTTCATGACGATGAGAATACTGGAGTGGGTTGCCATGCCCTCATCCAAGGGATCTTCCTGACTCAGGGATCAAACCTGCATCTCCTATGTCTCCAGCATTGGCAGGAGGGTTCTTCACCAGTACCACCTGGGAAGCCCCAAGGGTCTTCCTTACATATGATTTACTCCTTCATCCAGACACAAAGAGGCCACAGATAAGCCACAAAGCCGACTTTCCAGAAAAGCTGTGGATAGAGAGACCAAGAGTCCAAGAGGTGTGACCTCTGATTCCTGCAAAGTCTTCAGTTACTTGGGAAGGAAGGTGGACCCCTCACCATCTTGGCGGTACCTGTGAGCACCCCTTATCACTCAAGCATCACTGAGGATTTATGCAAATGAGGCATCCTGTAAGCATCTCAGGGAAGCTCCCGCGGACTCCGCCTTCCGCGCGGCTGGGTTTTATGAATGACTGCAATCAATGCTGAACGACTGCCAACTGCCCACTCTTCCCTGCATCGTACACACAAGAGAAACTCACCCTGCCGCAAGCCCGCAGATGAGGCTGTGGCAAGGCTTTCATCTCCCCAAACAGGAACTAAATGTGCTTCCAGAGACTTAGAGTATGTGAATGAAACATTCTCAATGCCTTCAAAAGGCACAATTTACATAATCACTTTCTCTCTTTTGAGTTTCCATTTTGGTGCCTGCACTCACCAGCCCCACTTTGCCCTCCCCTTCCCTGAAAAATAACTAAAAAACAAACAAATAAACAAAAAGCCCTTATTGTTTTATGAAATTTTATCTCAACTGAGCTTGATGACAAGGTCATGAGTCTAGTGACAGCACTGAGCTGTACCACAGATGCGGACACGTATGCATTTCTGCTCTCCATTTTTGTGGTTCTGGACTTTACTGGGGTTTCTCCTCCAGTGATAGAAACAATTACACTCAAACAAGGCTGGGGAAAGTGTGTCTGTGCCTGCTCCCAGGTAGTATTGTACTAGTGTGCATTTGTCACAAGAGTTTGTCAGTTACAATGACATCTAATTTGCTGATCGCTGATCAGACACACAGAATAAGGGAAAAACAGGCAAGAAGAGGACTCTGTAACCAGCCACTTTCTTCTGAACCTTCTATTCAGCACCCGAGACCCTTCTTCCATAAGACATTAGGCAAAAGTACCAAAACATGTGCAAACGTCTTGTCTCCACCCTGATTCTTTCTTAACTCCAGGCATCCAGTTGCCTCCCCAACACTTTTGCGTGGGTTTCCAGTAGGCTTCTCAAAATCAACACTTTCAGTAGGAATCCACCTTTTCTTAGACACCTGAGCCTCCAGGGCCAGCACCATCTTGGCTGGTTGTAAATGTTTTCTCTAGTTGTTCAGGCCG